TACTACTACTACTACTACTACTACTACTACTACTACTACTACTACTACTACTACTACTACTACTACTACTACTACTACTACTACTACTACTACTACTACTACTACTACTACTACTACTACTACTACGACTACTACTACTACTACTACTACTACTACTACTACTACTACTACTACTACTACTACTACTGCCACTACGACTACGACTACGACCACGACGACAACAACCACTACAAATACGACACCTGATTCACCTGATACGAACACTACCACTACGACTATTACTACAACTGCTACTTATTGTGCTACTACTACGACGACTACTACTACTACTACTACTACTACTACTACTACTACTACTACTCCTACTACTACTACTACTACTACTACTACTACTACTACTACTACTACTACTACGACGACTACTACTACTACTACTACGACTACGACTACGACTACTACTACTACTACGACTACTACGACTACGACTACGACTACGACTACGAGTACTACTTACTACTACGACTACTACTACTACTACTACTACTACTACGACTACTACTACTACTACTACTACGTACTACTACTACTACTACTACTATTACTAGTACTACGACCACCGCTACTACTACTACTACTACTACTACTACTACTACCACTACTACTATTACTACTACTACTACTACTACTACTACTACTACTACTACTACTACTACTACTACTACTTCTACTACTACTACTTCTACTTCTACTACTACTACTACTACTACTACTACTACTACTACTACTACTACTACTACTACTACTACTACTACTAGGGTCAAACTTCACCTTCGTGTCTACTAAGACTGAATGGGTTAGGACAAGGGTTCGGGTTCGGGTTCGGGTTCTACACAGTCTGTTAAAACCAAAAAGAATAACATAGAATAGTCGGAATTTAATCGTACACGAAGCAGGAGTTCGGAAACCACAATTTCGCCATTCGCTGATAGGAAAACAATACAGGGGCTATAGAGTTAATAGTACACGATGATGAGGTTCGGAAGCCCACTGATTCTAATAGTACACGAAGAAGGGGTCCGGAAACCCTCAAATTCGCCGTTCGCTTATAAGAAAACAATACAGAGGGGCTATAGAGCCAATAGTACACGAAGGTGAGGTTCGCAAACCCATTGTGGAAGACGAGATAACAGCGTTCCTCTTTTCCTGCTCGCTTTCCTCTTCCTCCTCCTCCTCCTCCCCATCCTCCTCCTCCTCCCCCTCGTTTTCCCCCTCCTCCTCCTCCTCCTGCCCGTCCCCCACCTCCTCATCCTCCTCTTCCTCCTCCTCCTCTTCCTCCTCCTCCCCGTCCTCCCCTTCCTCCTCCTCCCCCTCCTCCCCTTCCTCCTGCTGATCCGATGAGGAGAAGAAGGAAGAGCAAGAGGAGAAGGAGGAGGAGGAGGACGAGGAGGAGGACGAGGAGGAGGAGGAGGAGAAGAGGGAGGAGGAGAAAGGGTGAGGAGGAAAGGGAGGGAAGGGAAGGAAGGAAGGAGAGAGGGATGGAGGCCGGAAGGGAGGGAGGGAGGGTGGGAGGGAGGAGGAGGATAAAGAGCAGGAGGAGGGAGGAACGGGATGACGGAGGAGGGCGGAAGGAGGAGGAGCAGGGGGAAGAGGCAACATGTTTCCGTGCGGTGCTACCCTCGCCTCTGGGCGCGGCCGTGCTTTCTTGCCGAACCATGGGCTATGGGTCCGCTGGTGCCTGGGCGTGGGTCGGTCGATTGTCTTGGGTTCTCTCGTGTGCATGGGTTGTGGTCAATGGGGCCCGTGCCTGGTTGTGGGTGGGTTGCGACTGGGTGTCAGCGGATTGTCTGGAACCTTGTCTGCCTTGGCTTGGGCCGGCGGCGTGCCTGTAGCGTGGGTCCGCCTTCGTGCCTGGGCGGAGGTCGCGTGTTTGTGTGTGGCCATGACTCCAACAATGGGGATGAAGTGATGGAGGAGGAGGAGGAGGCGGATGATGCGGATGATCATCGTGATGAGGAGGAGGAGGGGGACGACGAGGAGGAGGATGACGATGATGAGCAGGAGGAGGAGTACGAGGAGAAGGAGGAGGAGTTGTTAGCTCGCAAAAAGCGTGTGTGGCGGCATCCGCGTTTTTGTCAGAAGCCGTAACATGGGGGAGGAGGAGGACAGGGGGGAAGGAAGAGGCGGATGACGCGGTGAATGCTCACGATGAGGAGGAGGACGATGAGAAGGAGAAGGATGATGAGGAAGAGGAGGAGTTGTCAGCTAGCCTAAAGCGTGTGTGGCGGCATCGGGGTTACTCTGGAGGCGTAACATTGGGGAGGAAGCGGATAATGATGATGATGATGATGATGGCGACGATGATGATGATGATGATGATGATGAGGATGATGATGATGATGATGATGATGATGATGATGATGATGATGATGATGATGATAGGTGGGCCGGGACACGATCCTCGTGAGCGGCGTGCCGTAATTGGACGTCGGTGGGCCTTCGGCAGCGCTCCCAATTGGACCAGGGCCACGATCCTAGTGAAGTGCGCGCCGGAATCGCGCGTCGGAGGGCCAGGCCCACGATCCTCGAGAGGGTTGTGCCGAAACGAAGCGGCTGGCAGTGGCGGTTGCTCCATATCCGACGTCGACACGAAGGACATGTGTAAAACTGCAGTTTGTTGTTCACTTTCTAATGCGAATCCAATCTACAGCCTCTACAGCGAATAGTGCACGAAGGTAGGCATTGGCGCGAAGGACACGACGGCCAGCTACTGCTACTACTGCTACTGCTACTACTACTACTACTACTACTACTACTACTACTACTACTACTACTACTACTACTACTACTACTACTACTACTACTACTACTACTACTACTACTACTACTACTACTACTACTACTACTACTACTACTACTACTACTACTACTACTACTACTACTACTACTACTACTACTAAGGTGGCCGCCAGCCAACAGTGGGGTACTCCATGTAGGAGAAAGCGTGATCCACCGCCGCTTTACTGTGGAAAATTGCCAACCTTTTCCTCTGGAACCCGGGGGTCGCCCCCCCCCCCCCCTCCGAAAATCCCCCCCCCCTGCTGGAACCCCTCCCCCCCCCCCCCCCCCCCCCTCCCCCGGCAAAACCCCCCCTCCCTAACCCCCCCCCCCCCCCCCCCCTCCCGCTCGAAAACCGGGGGGGGTCACTACCGGTTCGAACCCCTCCCCCCCCCCCCCCCCTCCGGACCCTCACGCCGCCAGCAAACGACTCCCGGTCCCCACCACCGTCCGCATCACATCCCCCACTGGTGTTCCCAGCACCACTGTCCTCACCACCGCTGTCCCCACTGGTTCCACCACCGCCCCTACTGTCCCCACCAGTGGCCCCACCACTGTCGCACTGTCCCCGCTGTCCCCAGAACTGTTCCCACCACGGTTCCACTCTCCCCACTGTCTCCACGGCCCCAACCACTGCCCGACTATCCCCACTGTCCCCACTGTCCCACTGACTCCTCCGCTGTCCCACTGAGCTGTCCCACTGTTCCCACCACTGTCCCCACTGTCCCCACCACTGTCCCCACTGTACCTCTGTCCCATTGTCCCACCGCCGTCCTCGCCACCGCCTTCACCACTGTCCCCACCACCATTGTACCCTCCACTGTCCCACTGTTTCCACCTCATTCCCATTGTCCCCACACCACTGTCCCCACCACCACCGTCACCACCACTGTCCACTGTCCCCCCCTGTTCCCACCATTGTCCCCACCACTGTCCCCACCACTACCGTCCCCACCACTGTCCCACTGTCCCACTGTCCCCACCACTGTCCCGCTATCCCCTCACCACTGTCCCCACCAACACCGTCCCCACCACTGTCCGCACCCCCACTCGGTTTTCGAGGGGGGGGGGGGGTTCGAACCGGTAGTGACCCCCCCCGGTTTTCCGGATCCGGAGGGGGGGGGGGGGGGTTCGAACCGGTAGTGACCCCCCCCCCTTTTCATGATGAGCTGGGGGGGGGGGGGGGAGGGGTTCGAACCGGTAGTGACCCCCCCCGGTTTTCCGGAGGGGGGGGGGGGGGAGGGGTTCGAACCGGTAGTGACCCCCCCCGGTTTTCCGCCAGCAGCGGTAGAACACGCTCTTTCCCATGTAGCGGCCGGGGTGCTCTGCGTAGTAACTTGGAAAGCCGCTTTCTCCTGCTTCCGGCGCTGGCGGCGTCGCCGGCGCTGGCGTTGACCAACACCCAGGCGGGCCGCGCGGCGCGGGGCGGTTGCCCTTGGCGGGGACGAGCTCCAAGACGTGCATGTTGAGGGTGCTCGTCCCGGTGTTGGTCGCGGCATCGGCGTGAGAGGTTCGGCTGCCCTGAGAGCTGGGGTCGAAGATCATGACCAGGTCCTTGGCCGTGAGCGCGGCGGTGCCCTTGCCTTTCCGCGCCGCGCAGGCTAGTCGGCGCCTCGCCGCGGCCCTTGGATCACGGGCCCCACGATGATGAACCCACCCTGGGTCTCCACGATGTTCCCGCTGCACTTCGTGGGTCTGGCTCGGACAGCGCAGAGCACTGCCAGGTAGTCTCGTAGCTCAGAATGGTGCCGGGGAGAGACAACAGATACAGGTGCAAGAGTGAAGGATTGGGATTGGAATACGTAAGTATAGGAATGACATGTATCGAAATGGTGACCGATCGGTGGCCGATCGGTCGGCTCACTGCCAGTGACACGCCTCAATCGCTTGGCGGTTCCTGCCTCCTCCTTCTCCTCCTCCTCCTCCTCCTCCCCCTCATCATCATCAACAGCATCATCACCATCATAATCATCATCGTCATCAACGCCAACAGCATCATCATCGTCATCCTCCTCCTCGTTTTCCTCCTCCTCCTCCATCCTCCACCCCTCTTCGTCATCATTCCTCGTCAACCATCCTTCCGTCCTTCCCCCCATCCCTGTGTCCTCACTGCCTCGTCCTCCTCCCTCTCACCAAACTGCCTCTGTTCAAAATTGCGCAAAGTCCTCTTGCTGCATGGGCTCGAAGTACCGCAGCAGCGCCCCCTTGCCGCCATCAAGCTCCCTCAACCAGTCCTCTGGAGTCTCTGGCACGAGTACTGTACGGCACTCCACCAAGTATAGGGTGGCCGACACAAGGATGAGGATCGAGGAGCAAGGAATAATGAATTTGGACGCCTCTTGTCCTCTTTGGGGCCTCCATGGGCTTCCAGAGATTTCTGGGTACCTCCAGAGACCCCTGGGAGCCTCCAGAGGCCTCCGAGAGACCTTGGGGATGGCCCCGACCTCCAGGCGTCGTGGACCAAAATCATCCTGGCGAAGGGCCAAACTAAGTGCAGGTGAATACCGCAGTTCTGAGGACCATCTTCGGTGGTGCTCCACATTTGGGGTCACGAAACGTGTGAGTGGTGTGCCGAAATGGACGTGCAGTGGGAGCAGGCAGGGATGGTAGGAGGGAGAAGGCAGCGAGAGGCGGATGTGGGACGCGGGGTGCTGCCTCTTCAAAACGAAGGCCCAACACGCCACAGTAGGAAAAAACACTGCGAGCCTTTGCTTCCAGACTCCAGCCCCTGGGGGCGGATTCAAGGCCACGTGGAGGGAAGAGGTCGGCCCCCGGCATCGGGCCGACGGCTGTGGCCGGGGCCCACGCCGTGAAGAGGCCGCGACGCCAGAGATCTGGGTGCCCCCCCGCCCCCTGGTGAGCAGCCCCCCCTCGCGGCGTCCTACACAGCGCGCTCTCTCGACGGCGGCGGCGGCGGCGGCGGCGGCAGCGATGGCGGCGGCGGCGACGGCGATGACAGCGACAGCGGCGGCAGCAACAAGCCCAAAGCGTCCTGCAGCGCACGCTCCTTCGAGCCCTCGGGCCACTCCGACGCGCCCTGCCCCGGGCGCTGGGTGACAGCGCCATCCCTCCTGGCTCCTCCATCCATCCATCCATCCATCCATCCATCCATCCATCCTCCTCCTTCCTCCTCCACCTCCTCCCCCTCCTCCTCCACCTCCTCCTCCGTCTCCTCCTCCCCCTCCTCCTCCCCCTCCTCCTCCTCCTCCTCCTCCTCCTCCTCCTCCTCCTCCTCCATCCTCTTCCTCCTCCTCCTCCTCCTCCATCCTCTTCCTACTCCTTCTCTTTCTTCTCCTCATCTTCCTCCTCCTCCTCGTCCTCGTCCTCATCGTCGTTGTCGCCATCATAATCAGCATCATCAGCATCATCATCAGCATCATCACCACTATCATAATCCACTCATCAGCATCACCAACAACATCAACATCATCACCATCAGCAGCAGCAGCGGCAGCATCAGCATCATCATAATCATCATCACCACCGCCACCCCACCACCAGAACAATCATTGGTAGTAGCATCACCATCGGTTTCAGCATCGTGTTCCTCATCATCAACATCATCATCATCATCATCAGCAGCAGCAGCAGCAGCACCAGCACCATCATCATCATCATAATCGTCACCATCATCATCATAATCAGCATCATCACCATCGTCATCACCATGATCATCATCATAAGACTCACCGCCAACACTATCATCATCGTCTGCATCATCAGCATACGCATCATTACCACCATCAGCATAATCATCATCATCGTCTGAATACTCATCGTTGTCATCGGCATCATCAACATAATCTTCACCCGCATCACCATCGTCCTCGTCCTCCTCCTCATCGCCATCCGCATCGTAAAAATACTCATCATCAGCATCGGCATCATCATCAGCATCATCAACATCGTCGTCATCAGAATCACCAGCATCATCAGTAGCATCACCATCATCAACATCATCAGCATCATCATCAGCAGCAGCATCAGCATCATCGTCAGCATTACCATCATCAGCATCACCATCGTCAGCATGGTCACCATCGCCATCATCGTCGTCAACAGAATCATCACCATCATCAGCATCATATCATCATCCTCCTCCTCCTCCTCATCATCATCATCATCTTCTTCATCATCCGCATCGGAATCGCAGTCATCATCAGCATCGTCATCATCATCAGCATCAGCATCGCCATCCTCATCCCCATCATAATCATCAGCAGCAGCATCATCATCAACATCGGCAGCATCATCATGGTAATCATCAGCATCATCAGCAGCAGCATCATCAGCACCAGTATCATCAGTTACCGCCACCATCATCCTCACCATCATCATGATCATCATCAGCAGCAGCATCACCATCACCAACAACACAACAATCATCATCATAAGCAGCATCAGCAGCAGCATCAGCATGAGCATCAGCATCAGCATTATCATCATCAACATCATCGTCATGATCATCAGCATGATCATCGTGATAATGATCATCCTCCTCATCATCAGCATCATCATCAGCATCATCATTTTCATTATCATCATCTCAATCGTCGTACTCGTAGTACGTAGTGATCGTCATCAGCAGCAG